TTTAAATGCTTTTTATATGACCGTCTGCACCTCATCTGTGTTCTTTGTTTAAAACGGGGCTCTTGTAAATGAGTCCCCGTGGCTCAGTGAGACTAACCTGTTTAAATAAAGGTTGAATGAATGAATGAATGCAGTATCCCATCTCTTGTGTGAACAAATTTCTTGTTTGTGGTGGAATAAAACAGTAAAATTAACTGGCATTGTCCACCACGGACTATTTTTAATCCACACTTTTCTCGTTTGGTTTTACTTTTTAAACTTTTTTCATTATGATGAACTCTGCTGGCGTCATCCTCTTTTGGGTTTAAAGTTTCCATGCTTTTGGTTGAACTCCCACAGTTCCCTTTTTGTCTATACTGTGATGAGAATGGTTATATAAGTGAAACCACGAACAAGCCTGAGCTGAGAACCTTAAAATAAGGAATAAACAGAACTGGATTTGCAGACGTACTGCGCTGTCTGACAAACTGCCCCGCTGTGATCACGACTCCATCATTATATCGGTTCTCCTTTCTGTATATTTGAAAAGTAGCGTTTCTGTTGTAGTGCTGTATTGTCAGTGCTGGGTGGAGAAAATGCACGTATTGTATACTGAGAGCGCTTTTGTTGTGGTGACTGCACATTTTGTAAAATGCATCTGCTCATTATTTTCTTACCACAACATCTAGCAGGTTGCGGATATCTATATGTGTCACTCATCTAAAGCACAATCTTTTTCCACTCCTACTCTTAAGAGCTGCATTTACGTCTAGAATTATTATGTTTTAACACCATTTTTGCACAAGTTAAAAGTTACAGACACTCAGATAATTTGCTTACAGCCTCTTTAAGTGGATGGTCAAATCTCTCTTGTTCACGCATTCTGTCATTGGTTGAAAGTTTAAATAATAATAAAACACCAGTATGTTACGCTGCCTTCAGGCCGAGATCTGCAAGAGATCTGTGAACTCGGTGGGATTTGCCTGGTGAAGTAAAGGTTGATAAAATGTGTTAAAAAAATAAAATACAGTATTGTTAAAGTAAACAGTCTGTTCTTACACATGAATTCATGTGTTTTCTCATTTTATATCCTCTTAAATCTGTCTGCAGAGCGACCGCATCATTTGCATGTCTTCTTTTTGCAGTTACCGTAATTTCCAGAATATTGAGCACACCCAAATATAATTCGAGCCCACTACATAATTAAATTTTTTATACATGTATAGGCCACACTTTTATATACGTATCGGGTGTCCACGTTGTTACCAATCAGCCTAACATGCATGTTTTTGGTCTGTGGGAGGAAACTGGAGTACCTGAAGAAAACCCACGCATGTACAGAGAGAACATACAAAACACCCAGGAAGGCCCCCGGACCGGGATTTGAACCGGCTACCTTCTCGCTGAGAGGCAGCAGCTCTACCAGTTGCGCCACCGTGCTGCCCTGAGGACTTGGTTACTGATTTTTTTAATTTTTTTATTAAAAAACTTTGTGTGAAAAATGCTAAAGAGCTCAAACCACACCGAGCATGTGCCATTTTGAGAAAGGAAGGAGAGACAGCCCATGTCATGGCAAGGGGCCTCCCTCCCATTTTTCTTAGACGCACTGCTCGCTCCCTCACTATCCATCCTTTGATTCAAACGGTCTTATATTGCCATCCAGTGGTCGAAAAAAGTTACTACACACAAAAATTAAACATTTTGTCAAATTTGACAATAATTAGTTATTATTGTCAAATTTCAAACAATATTATCGTTTATCTCAATAATTTCTGAGACAATTAATCGCCCAGCAAAATTTGTTATCGTGACAGGCCTAGTCTTTATTTCCTTTCTAAGTTTTGCTCTCATTTTGTCTTTTTGACCTTCACACATTCTCTTGCACTGCAACATCTTAGCTTTCCTCTGCTGTTTTCAGTTCTTATCGAACCTTTTTTGTCACACTTGTGTCACGTCCATCTTTTCATTTTGAACTTCGTCGTCTTCACATCGTCCTGTTCCTGCTTTGGCACGTCTTTCCACACATTCTTCTGGCCACTGAGGTTCCCTCCCTGCACGTGTCTGTGAGTCTGCATGCTGCATCGTGCATGTTTGGATTGAGCTGGAGTTACATAGCTGGATTGAGTAATTGTGAGGTGCGTCTCTGCTGCAGGGAGGGAGCTCCTCTGCTGTTTCCATTGTTGGGTGAGTTGGATCTGGAACCGGTGGACTGCAGCGTTGTGCTGCTCTGATTTCACAGGAAAATGGAAACTATGTCAGCGTTATTGACTCAAAATGTGCCGTGCAGCCCCTGCAGGTTTACCGTAAATAGAAGATTAAAGTGCAAATGACTCTGAATACAGTGGTATTGTTTTTGTTGAAACTTCTCAAACTTAAATCAGCAGGGCAGCACGGTGGCACAGTAGGCAGAGCTGTTGCCTCTCAGCGAGAAGGTTGCTGGATCAAACCCCAGCCGTGAACCCTTCAGGGTGGAGTTTGCATGTTATCTTTGTGTAAGCGTGTTTTTTTTTTTTTCTGGACACTGCAGTTTCCTCCCACAAACCATAAACTACTTGGTAACTAAACTGTCCCTATGTGTGAGTGAGCATGTGGATGGTTGTTTGTCTCTGCGGCTCTGTGATGGACTTGCGACCTGGAAAGGAAGAAGCGGGTAAAGATAATAGATAGATGAAGTAAATTAAGATTTTCTGCCTTGTGGTAGTAAAGTTCCTTTTACGATGTCAACTTGTTAAAATAGAGGCATAATATTTGTATAAGTGTAGTTGGTATAAAGTTAAATGAGGTGCATAATAAGCAATAAATTGGTTTCAGTTGCTCGTGCTACTTAAGAGTTACGTCTTGTTGACTCACCCAGTTAATTAAAATGTTCTGATAGGTTCAAAATAAACACAGAGGTCCTTATAATGGCACCTCACATTGGATGGGATTTATTAGGCAGCAAATGAGGACATTTTTTTATTGTAGAATATTTATTAGAAGCACAAAATAATGGGAAAGTGTGTAGATATTAAGAATGTCCAGCATGAGCTAATAACAGAATCTTAGCAGCAGCCTTTTGAATCAACTGAAAACTTTTTAAGAGGTTTTTTTTTTTTGTTCACCAGATAATAAAGAAATCCAGCCTAGATGTGAAAAATGGATGGCTTGGTTTTTCTGTGTTTTGGGACCTGTTTTAATTGTAGTGATCTTGCACAGCTGAAGAAAGCAGTCCTGATGACAGTTTTACTGTGAGGGTGAAATGACACATCCTGATAAAAAAACGATAACACCAAGGTTCTTTACGTTTCAACTGGAGGCCAAATGAATGCCTCCAAATGGACTAGATTACAAAATACTATTTTTTATTATTGTCATTCATTAAATTTAATGTTTCTAAAGCTGCTTTTGTTTTGTTTCTTTACAGACTGACGTGGATTCGTTGCTGCATACAAACAATTCAGTGACCGTTTCGGACTTTAAATTGAATCTCCTGCTCTTACCTTTCCACCATGACGTGTGAATCTCCAACCCACTGAAGAGGAAGGATCTGAATGCCACCCTAGTCCTACACTTCAGCTTCCTGTCAGCAAAGCTTCCATCCCCTTCAGATCTCCTCTGATAAGACGTTTAACTCTGGTCTCAGCATGGGTACAAACACTCCAGACCAACACGGATGCTACTACAACTACTCAGTCAAGTTTTTTTATGACGAGCGTAACAAGACCATCAGTGACTACTGGCGCACTCGTGACTATGTGGTGGTCAGCTTGGGATTGACTGTTTGCTTTGTAGTAATTCTTTCTAACCTTTTGGTTATCGTGGCCATTTTTAAAAACCGACGCTTTCACTTTCCCATCTACTACCTGCTGGGAAACCTGGCTTTGGCAGACTTTTTCGCAGGTAATATCATTTAACTTGTCAACATTTTTGTAATCTGAATTTATAGTTGCACAAGAATAGGAATATGCTGTCCATTTGTAAGTTGGGTTTAGATCAAACTAATGAAATTATTCAACATTTAATTAATCTTGTTTCTCTCTATATATATATATATTTTTTTTTTTTTTTTCATTTAGCCTTTATTTATACAGGTTAGTCTCATTGAGCCACGAGAACTCATTTTCAAGAGAGACCTGTTTAGGGAGCACATGGTGGGGGTTAAGGGCCTTGCTCGTGGGCCCAGAGTGGGGCGAATGAGGGTGGGGGCAAGTGTGGGTGTTTCACCGACCCCACCCACAATTTAGATGTTGCCGGGGCCGGGGCGTGAACCGGCGATCTTCGGATCACAGGCCCACCTCTCTAACCTCTGCACCACCACTCCCCACTTTTATATATTCACAATATTAAATTAGAGATGAACCAATTGCAGTTTTCTTGGATCCGTTGCATTTAGTAAAATTATGACTTGCTGGCGGCATGGTAGCTCAGTTGGTAGAGCTGGTTCCTCTTAGAAAGAAGGTTGCTGGGTTGAATCCCAGACAGGGACCTTTCTGGGTGGAGTTTGCATGTTCTCTTCGTGCATGCGTGGGTTTGCTTTGGGTACTCCCGTTTCCTCCCACAGACCAAAAACATGCATGTTAGACTGATTGGTAACTCTAAATTGTCCCTAGGGTGAGAGAGTGAATGGTTGTTTGTGTCCCTATGATGGACTGGAGACCTGTCCAGGGTGTCCCTGCCTCTCGCACAGTGACTGCAGGACATGGGCACCAGTGACCTCACAACCTTAAAAGGAAAAAGCGAGTAAAGGTGATTTATGGATGATGGATGGATGGTTCTTATTTTGCCCAACTGATTTTTTTCGCAAATAAAATTGTAAAAATTATAATTGGAGCAGTTTACTGTCGCCTGTTGTTGTTTTTTTTTTTAATTTTTACAAGTGGTACAGCTGTTTCAGTTCTTACTTGTTTATTGGGTCTTGTTTAGCTCCTGCTTCAGAGTTGGTTCTTTATTAAGTGACAAAAGGAGACAAAAATGTTGATTGACAGAGCAAGTTGATGGTTTTTCCAGCTTCCACACCATTAAAACAACATTTGTGTTGCTAACATAGAAGCTACTTATCTGTCGCCTTTGTCTTGGTCTGCATGTTGAGCACACGTAAGCCCCCAGTATACTGCCGCGTACGTCCATACGCAGAGGTACGTACGCAGAGGTACGCACGCAGAGGTACGCACGTACGTACGCAGAGGTACGAGCGTACCCCCCAGGGCATGTCCGTGCAAAGCTCAATTTTTACAACCGCGTACGCGGTGTCGCACAATAAACTGCCCGGCGACAGACTGTTTTGTATGTGACACCAATGTATTAAATTCTCCTTCTTCATCTCTGATCTGGCCTTTTCTTTTGTTGTTTTGCCAAGAGGCAGTGATCTCTTCCTCCTCCGTTGATGCCATGACTGAAATGATGAGAAATGAAGGAATTTGTCACAAGCGAATTAAACTCAGGTCCAGCGTGGCTGCGGGAGGGTCTGGAGATTTCCTGGTGGGCTGGTCTGATGTGTGGGCTGCAGAGCCAGCGCTCCCTGTTTTTTTTTGTTTTTTTTAGATCTTTTTATTAACAACATATAAACACAGAACACCACTGTGGCTGAGGCTGCCAGCGCTCGTTTTTTTTTTCCGACCTGTCAAATCAATCCAGTAGGCGTGTCGGCAAATGACCAATCGGCGACCTCAATTTGTCCCGAAGGTAAACGCCCCTCGTCTGTGAAGCTGCTCTGCAGCTGCTCAGGGCGTACGCTGTAGTACGAAGTCTGAACCCTCTGCGTACAGTACACGTGAACGGACGTACGTGGCAGTATACTGGAAGCTGTAGGCTGATCTACTGAATCTTGGATACTATAATTCCTTCATAGAAATGTTCTAAACTTTAACTAGTCCTCCAGTTGTTGGTAAACGTCAAGGGCATAAGTGATGTTTAACCCCTCTATAGTGGAATATACAAGACCTGCATCTGAAACTGAAAAAGTGACCTAATCCAATTCAAACTCAATTACATCCAGTCCATTTCAGTCTACTTATCTTTATCTCAGCTGCTCTCAGGCCTGCACAGTAATGAGTTTTGTGCTTTAACTGCATTACACAGACAGTAAGAAAGCAAACACATATATCTGTTATATATCCCTCCAAAGTAGAACTAACAGTTCTCTTAATGCAGTCTTTATAACTTCTAGTCCAACAGCTCCTACAGATGCAACATGTTTTTTGTGAGTTCTAGTTTACTACGAGACTAGTTTTCCAGTAGGCAACAGACATCAACTTTTTTTATGTTTGTTACCAAAGATCAATATCAAAACAAATTTCATTAACTCAAAATAACATCAAACTCAACATTATGATTGTTGACAATAAATTATTGTATCAAATATGTTTAACAGAGAAAAATACTTGGTAACATTTGTAATGCACATAGAAAAATCTATATTTGAAGGGCCTTAACACTTTGCCCTCTTCCTACATGACAAATCAACTAGAACCACTGTACCACTTGGTGTGTGAAATATATAAGGGTGGGGGCAAAGGTTGAATTGCAACGCACCTTTACAAATAAAAACGCTGTAAATTCTGCAGCTCTGTCTATAAACATATAACTGAACTAGATACAGTGTACATTATGAGTATGTGTAACTCAAAGTATTGATTTTTAGCACAGTACCAGGATTTCTAATCGGGCTCGAGGGTTAAAGTGCAACAGATACGAGCGCTTTTGTCTAAAACTGTCGACACCTGCAAACCTAGTGTGCAATACATGGATTTTGCCTTTGAGCAATTTGGTGACAATAATTGTACAGCGCTACCGTTTCAGAGTCAGAGAGGTGTGTCTGAAGTTACCAAGTCTGCAGTGAAACTCCAGCTTCTCTGTGCTTGTAAAGGAAGTCTGTTTATATTTTAACTCGAGCAGGACTGGACAAGCTCTGCACCTAATGCCGAGCTCGAGTTTGACAATTATTTGTCTTATAATTTGGTTCTGTTGAGTTTATTTATAACAAAAATTATTAGTGGGTTTTATACAGAGAAAGTGAATGGATCCAATTAAAATGTAGTTACTTCCAGTCCATTTCAGTCTAACCATGCACCCATTCATTATGTTTATTTGCTTCGTCCTTTTTGGGTCACGGGGGTCACTGGTGCCCATGCCCATCAGTTAATGCGAGATGCTGGGGACACTCTGGACAGGTTTCCAGTCCATCACAGGGACACAGTGACAAACAAGGCAAACAACCATTAACACTCACTGACACCTACAATTTAGTGACCAATCAGCCTAACATGCATGATTTTAATGAAATTTAATTTCACAAAATCTAAAAATAATTGCTTTTAAGAAAAGGGCCTTCTCACTTAAATTGGCTAAATTGTGGACTGAAATGTGTAAGATGGTTGTTAGAACTGCTACTGAATTTTCTTCTTCAGATTTGATAATCTGTTAAATATGCACAGACATGGCTGATTGCCTTTAAATATATATATTTAAGCACTGCAGTCAGTATCAGTTTAATTCAGTTGACCAATTATTTGATCTATCACTTAATTAAGACATTGATTGAGAGATATTTAGACAGTGCCAAGATAAAAAGTCCAACAAGTTAGAATGTGCAATATTTCAATTTGATTTGAGCTCATTAGATGTAAAAATGTATAAATCAGACATTTAAGACTTTTTTTTTCCTCCTTTTGCTGTCTTAGAGCTACTACTTGACCTGACATAATATGCAAAGCTTTTTTAAATTTCTGTAATAAAATTCCAAATGTCTTTCCAGGTGTTTCCTACCTCCATTTGATGTTTCACACTGGTCCCTGGACCATTAAACTGTCTATAAACCAGTGGTTTGTGCGGCAGACACTGGTCGACACCAGCCTCACAGCTTCGGTCCTGAACCTGCTGGCGGTGGCCGTTGAGCGTCACCAAACCATCTTCAGCATGCAGCTGCACAGTAAGATGAGCAAAAGGCGGGTTTTCGTCATCATACTCTTCATCTGGCTGGTGGCAATCATCATGGGCCTGATTCCCAGCATGGGCTGGAACTGCCTGTGTGACCTGGATGTGTGCTCTACAATGGCGCCACTGTACAGCCGCAGCTACCTGGTGTTCTGGGCTGTTCTCAACTTGCTGACCTTCTCCATAATGGTGGGCGTCTACACCCGAATCTTCCTCTATGTGAGGCGCAAGAGCAGGCAGATGTCGCAGCACACGAGCCAGTTCAAACACAAGGAGACCGTGCTGAATCTGATGAAGACCGTTTCAATGATCCTAGGTGAGGAGGAGTACTATGTGATGCGTGTATATTTGAAACTTGTGGTGAAAGCCGTTTTAAAACCAACTTTGATTATCTTAATTAACCTGAATTAACTGTTTGGTAAATATCAAAACTTGTGAAAGCTTTGCAAGTAAATTGGGCTTTAAATGAATTACCGTAATTTCCTCTGTACACGTCGCACCGCCCTAAAAGCCACATCAGTCCAAATATGTAAAAAAAAAAGTGGAAAAATCCATAAATATGCCGTATACGTTGCGTCTGTTATTCGTCACCGCTGACGTGTCACGTTTGTTTCGCGTCACTGTCAACACTGACAACCTGGATATGTGGGTTGGTGTTTTGACAAAAATCGATGGGCTGCCAAATGGCAGCCGTGGGAGCGTGCATGGGAGGACTTTAACAAGATAAACACTTAAAAACAATTATTTGTTTGCTCGAAATTATAGTAAATGTGTGTCTCAGTCTAACTTTTGCTTATTAAATGCACTTTGAGAGTCAAATCAGCTGCATTTCAAAAGCCGATACACGGAAGTAAACGCATGCACGCATCAAATATCTGCAAATTTAACAAGACAACCACCCAAAAACAATTATTTGTTTGCTTGACTTTATAGTAAAGGTGTGTTTCAGTCTAACATTTGCTTAATTAAAGGACTTTAACGGTCAAATCAGCTGTATTTCAAAAGTATTAGCTGCCTTGGTGCTCCGGGAGCGTGCAGACCGAGAGGAAATAAGGAGGAGGAACGCTGCTCGTTTCTTTGAAATTTAACAAGAAAAGTACCTAAAACAATTATTTGTTTGCTTGAAATTATAGCAAAGGTGTGTCTTAGTTGAACTTTTACTTAATAAACACACTTTCATGGTCAAATTAGCTGCATTTCGCCAGGGCGGTGCAGCAAAATGAAGCTGAGGTTGCTCCAAGCAGCGAGCAGAACGAAGGTGGGGGAATTTGGCAGGCCGATTGCGTCATTAATAGCTGGTGAAGATTCTCATTCATCCAGGACATGGTAAATTCAAAAAGTTCAAGACAAAAATAATAAAGTATAAAATAAAGTATAATAAGTAAAGTCCAGTTGTTGAATACGTTGCTTGGGCCTATAAGTCGCAGGGCATGTAAATTATGCAAATAATCACGACTTATAGGCCTAAAAGTAACATAAGTTTTTTTTTTTCTTTTAATAGTAAACCTTTTTAATAAACAAATAATATTCAAAGTCCTTGTTCAGACCTGTCACTAAAATATTTCCTGAGTGATCTGATCTGACACTAAAAGCAGGTGTGAACGAGGGATAAGTAGTGATTTTTGAATATATCAAATCAGCTATAAATACATGTTAGAACCATATCTAAACAGGACCAAAGAGCAATGTAAACATATATTATACTTAAAGAAGCAATTTTATTGGATTATCAAGATCCACCTATTTCAAACCTGCTAAAATTTTATACATTTTATTGTACTGGTTCAAATAACAAATAGTTGGGCTTTGAAAAGCAAGGTTGTTTTTGCATCATCAGTCATTTTGGAGCCATAGCTAACTCTTTAAGTGGGATTCTATGAAGTAAACCCACCAAAAGTATAAATTGTGCTGATCATAATTTGTCAGCCTGCAGTACAATTTGAGACCCATCAGAATCTTTGATGCAAACATGGTCCACATCCACTCTTTTTGGAAAACTTTCCACAAAGGTTTGGAGAATTTTTGCCTTTTTGTTCTTCAGTGCCTGACCTCGTCAACGCTCATGTTGGATGAGAAGATTCCAGTTCTTCCCAAAGGTGCTTGATGAAGTTGAGGTGAAGTCGGTGCTCATTGCGGATCAGTCAAGTTCATCCACACTAAATTCATTGATGTCTTTTCAATCTTTTGCTTTGTGCAGTGGAGCAGCAGCATGTTGGATAGAAAAGGGTCTTCTCTAAAGTGATGCCAAAATGTATGCGTATGCTAAAGCATTGAAATTGCCTACAAGAGGCCTAACCCAAACACTGACTGTAGCACCTGAAGCCAGCAAAACAAAATAGGCAATGATATAAACATCAATATATTCTTCTTTCAGCTGCTCCCTTCCTCAGGGGGTCGCCGCAGCGAACTAAGACCAACAAGTGTCAAAGACGTGGCAATTGTTTTTACGGCGGATGCCCTTACTGATGCAACCAGAAACCACCGAGCTACCACAGCCCTCTGTGTGGAGCAGAGAGCTGCTGTCTAGGGCGCCCATGAGAGCAGCTGGTGGGGCCTTGCTCAAGTGTCCAGAGTGGGGCAAATGAAGGTGGAGGCAGGTGTGGGTGCTTCATCTTTCCCACTCGCATTTTGACGTTGTCTGTCCGGGGGGTTGAACCGGCAACCTTCCGATCACAGGCCCACCTACTCTAGGCTCTGCGCCACCACTCCCCCATATAAACATTAAAATATATAATCACCAATTTAGAATTTTGCTTGCTTAAAATTGTATGACTATAATGTTTTAATATTGGAAGGTATGTTTTAATAGCTGTATATAAAATAGAAGTAAAAACAAATATTAAAGTAATTTAATTAGCGAGAACAGTATAATGGAAATATTTAAGTTTTGACAGTGACTATTTAAGATTGTGGTATACCTTTAAAAAGTCTTATTCCTATTTTTCACTCAATGAACAGAGAAGGGAAATGGAGAAATGTGAGCCGTGCTGGCAAAACGAGTCAAATAAACACCGGCTGCAGTGCAAAGAAAGTGGGAAAAAGAAAAGCATTTTTGACATAATTGAGATTTGCACACAAAAAGAGTCCATAAAGGCACCATTTAGTGATTCTGGTAACAAAAAAATAGCATATAATCTTTCTAGTCTACCTTTAAATCAAAGTTTTCTAAGAAGCATGTCTTTAGAAATCATCCTCTGTCCTTTAACCCTCAATTGTGACTATTTTTGCTGCTGGCTGCTGTAGTGCCACAGAATCCCTGTATAAAATTTGGCCTTATTGTGAAGTTTAGGCATCCCACCTTTTAAATATATGTAAATAATTTCTGATGGCATCATTCTAGACGAGCAATAAAAAAAAAATCAAGGTTTCAAACCGGCACTATGTAAATTAAACTGAAATCAGAATTTCAACCATTATCCTTGTTCACGTCTTTGAGAAAAAGTGACTCAAAATTGGCACTCAGTTATTTTAGACAGAATTATTTTCATTTACATTCTGCCATGGAGATTAGTCGGCAGCGGCGTTGCACATGGTTTAAGGTCTGAATGCAGTGAGGTGAATATACCCCACTCTGAATGCAACTGGAAGGGACACTGTGAGAACTGAGTGCTTTGGGACTGGGGAGGGGTCCACAGCAGCACCTGCTTCTCGTTGAAAAGAACAATATGTTCACAACTGTAGTTTCCAAAAAAAAAAAGACTAGATAATCAATAAATTTGTTACTAATTATTCTAAAGAAAAGTAGTTCTAGGTGTCTGAAAGCTTGCAAATATAGCAACACTGCCTTAAACAAATTTATTTATTTAACTCGAGCTGCCTATCCAGGTAGTATATGTAAAAAAAAAAAAAACAAGTTAAAGAATAAGTAAAATGAAAAATATAAACCTTGTAATAGGTGACATTCCTTTTGCATGAGTCACTTTGCTCATTGTGCAGAAGAGATCATTTTATAGAGAATATCTAACGAAGTCAGGGCCTCTGGACGGATAAAAAAAAAAATTGGTTGAAACGTTTTTTTTATTTATTTTTTTTATCCAAAAGACTTCATCATTCTGAGGAGCTGCAGTAAACTCAGTCTTATAAATAGCCCCTTCTCATAGTGGATCAACTAGTTTGCTGGTGACGGCCAAAACTATCTGTTCACGTGATTAAAAGAGGACCACCAGTTTAACGACCGATCGTTAATGCCCGATGGCCACTTGCTATTCACAGAGGGCTAAGTGAAATAACAGCATTGTAAGAAGAGGACGATTGGACACGGGGGCCTCCACCCCCGTTTAACTGCAGAGTGATGATTTTGCTCTTCTGGTCTACTCATCAGGCCAGGACTCTGTGGTCTACACTCGTCTCCAGATCAGTGGTCACTGCTTCTGTGATGAAGATGTTCACATCCTTGATGGAGAGGAACGATGGTTTGAGAGAGGAGTGAAGGAGGCCATCTTTGTGAAGAGAAACCATCCTTCATTAAACATGGGCGGAGGGCTCCGTGTCCAATTGTCCCTCTCTTGCAATAGCTATGTTTACATGGACATAAGTAACTGGATCAAACGGCCGTTCGGAACAAAAAAGTGTCATGTAAACACCATGTTCGGGTTATTTTTTTGTTTATTCAGCGTGATCTGAAATCATTTGTGATCAGAACAAAACGGGTGGTTTACGCCGATCCGTAACCCGATCGGTGCGCATGTAAACGCTCGTCATGAATGGATTGTGCCCATGTAAAGGATGCATTCGAATTATTTAATCTGAAAACATTTCAATCTGGTCAAAACATTTTGCGCATGTAAACATAGTTTATGAGAAGGGGCTATTTATAAGACTGAGTTTATTGCAGCTCCTCAGACTGACGAAGTCTTTTGGATAAAAAAAACAAAATGTTTCAACAATTTTTATTTATTTATTTTTTAATCCGTCCAAAGGACCTGACTTAACTTTGTTAGATTTTTTTCTACCTGGATTTGTGAGCATGCATTTATAGAAAATAGTTTAATCAGAAATTCTTCAAGGTTATTAGAAAAACAAGCCGAGCCTCATTTTCAACTTGTGAAAGCATTCAGGCTCCTGAAGTTAACTTGTCTGTACTTGTTTGACCAAACCTTAGACCTCAGCCTCCCCCATTTGCAACCAGTCTTTTATTTTATTCTGCTAACCAAACATTACTTTTTTGTCTTTGATGGCATTCTCTTCTTGCACATTTTGCACTAAGTTAAATTCCTCAAATGTTTATAAATGTTGCAACCTTTGTCCCGTCACTCAGCAGCCAAGCAGTCAGGCTTCAGTGTTAGTCTTTCAGAGAGGTTGAGGAACGAGCAGTAAGCATGTCCTGACATGGAGCGTATACTTCCAGGGCTGTTAAAGAAAACAGCTTGAGCTACGTGACGCCACGTAATCCGACTCTGCCTTTCCTTATTTGTCTGTTTATGACTTTAAAATTAAGGTTGTTTGTTAAATTTAAAGTGAGGGCATTTTGACTCTTTCTCAAACTAATTGGAAGATAAATTTTTAGGTATAAATTTGAAGCAAAGCATTTGATTGTGACATGTTTTTTGGGGGGGTTGGGAGGGGAGATCTAAGGAATGCATGACAGTCTTTGTGTTGTTTCCACATAGTTTACCATTTCTGTCTACATTTTGTTTGTGTGCATATGTTAGTGCTCGAAGTGCTGCATTCTTGAGATGTTTAATCAACTATTATGAAAATAGAACCTGGTTCTGCCCGTCCTATGTGTTTCCATAAGGGGATTTACAATTCTACCCTGGCCCCCCAACATTTACCGTATTTTTCGGCGTATAAGTCACTTTTTTTTTTTGCATAGACTTGTCAGTCCTGCAACTTGTATAGTTTTTTTTTTTTCTTCTCCATATTCCTAATGCAATTTTTAACTGACACTTTAAAATTCTAAGAACTGCAACAGCGAGTCCTTCCGCGCACGCTCGCTTCACTCAGCTGGTGCAGGTGGAGGAACGCTGGAGAGCTAGCATCTCCAGCCGCGATGGATGGATGGATTGATGGATGGATGGCACCGCCCAGGCGAAATGAAGCGTGTTGACCATTAAATAAACACTTAATAAACGTGACGGGTCAGCGGTGATGCATAATAAATACGACTTGTATATGTGTTTTTTCCTCTTCATGATGCTTTTTTTGACTGATGCGACTTATACTCCGGAAAATATGGTGCCTGCTCCTCCACATCTTTTGCGAACCTTGACTTTTGATTGTGTAACTTTTCTTTTTAATTTACAGTGTTTATTTCAGATTATCTTAACCTTTTATGTCCCTGATCTGTCTTGACAGGCTTGTTTGTGATCTGCTGGACACCCGGCCTCGTTTTGCTGCTGCTCGACGGTCTGGACTGTACCAAATGCAACGTGCTGGTCTACGAGAAATACGTCCTGGTGCTGGCCGAGTGCAACTCGTTGGTCAACCCAATCATCTACAGCTTCAGAGACAGCGACATGCGGAGGACCTTCAAGGAGATTTTGTGCTTCCTGTGCAAGCGGAACAGCAAGCGGAACGGCATGTCCGAAGCTTACTTTACCACCATGGAGCAAGAGGTACTGTCTGAAAGCAATGGAACTGAAGACAGCAAAAGCAAACAAACAACCATTCGCACTAAAGACTTATTTTAATTTTAAGCTTGATTTCTTTAGCTGAACACAGCTGGGTTTAATTACTTTTCATTCTTGCTGTTTGTAAAATATTTTAGTGTCAAAGGCTAAAAAGTCTGTTTTGAAGGAAAACAAGTAAAACACCCAGTTGTTCCATCTAAGCTACAAAACAATTAGGTCCTATGGCTAATATTTTTCAGACTACCGATGTTTCTAATAAGCGTTAGGGTTGTATCTGCACCTGCACGTTACTTTGGTCTTGGTCATACTCAGACTAGCTGTTAGCTTGTAGGCTTGGTGAGGATTGAACTCAACTCATGTGACAAACTTGTACCTATGCAAGGTGAATTATTTGGTTTTAGCTTTTCCATTACTGTCTTGTTAAATTATCCACAAGTAGCCAAATACTCACTGGCCATTATTAGGTACACCTACTTGTTCAGTTGCTTGTTAGCACAAGTAATTAATCATTCGGTCACTCAATGCCTTTAAGCATGTAGACATGGTAAAGATGACTGGTTCAAACTGGGCAACAAAATGGGGAAGGAAAGGGATTTTAGTGACTGAATGTGGCATGGTTGTTGGTCTGAGTATTTCATAAACTGCTGATCTGGGATTTTTACACACAACCATTTCTAAAGTTTAAAGAGAATGGTCCAAAAAAAAAAAAGAAAAGTTCAGTGAGCAGAGGTTAGATGGACAAAAAAAAGCCCTGTTAATGTCAAAGTCAGGAGAATGGTCATAGTAGCTCAAATAACAGTTTGTTACAAAGGTCTGCAGAAAGCTGGAGTGGTGGCACAGAGGTTAGAGAAGGTGGGTCTATGATCGGAAGGTTACCGGTTCAACTCCCCAAACTGTGGGTGGGAAAGGTGAAACACCTTCACGTGCCTCCACTTTCATTTGCCCCACTCTGAGCCCTTGAGCAAGGCCCTTAACCTCCACAATCTGCTCCCCCAGCATGGTGGTCTGCGGTTGGGTCAGGAAGGGCGTCCTGTGTAAAAACAATCGCCAAGTCTTTATGTTAGTTCGCTGATGCGACCCCTGAAGAAGGGATCATCTGAAAGAAGAAGAAATATATATATATATATTTTTAAAATAAAATAAAGAGCTGCAGAATATCATCTCTATGCACACAGTATGTTCAACTTTGAAGCAGATGGACTACAGCAGCAGAAGACCACACCGGGCCCTATCAGCTAAGAGCAGGAAACTGAGGCTACAGTTCACACGGGCTCAACACAATCGGACAATAAGAGTTTTGAAATCTGTAGCCTGTTCTGATGAGTCAGGCTTCACTGAACTCCAGTGGCCTCCACAGTCACCAGCTCTCCATCCAGTCAAACACCTTTGGGATGTGATGAAACTGGAGACTTGCAGCCCAGATGTGCAACTGACAGGTCTGAGGCAGCAGCATGATGCCGTCATGTGGTATGGACCAGCATCTCAGAGGAATGTTTCCAACAACTTGTCGAATCAGTACCACAAAGATTAATGCAGAGTCCAACTTGGTACTAGTAAGGTGTACCTAATAAAGTGTTTAGTGAGTGTAGTTGGTTTGAAGAAGAAACAAAATCAGCTACTTTTTTATAATTGTTAAATTGTCTCCTGCCTTTCATTTTGAGCTAAAGCTCACATCAAACTCTGTGAATGGTTGAGTCTAAATGTGCAGAAAATCAAACTAAATGTAAGTTTAAATCGCAAATCTTTTTTTGTATCATTTCATTAAACAAACACAGCATGGTTAAAAGTTTCAGATTCAAAATAAAATAAAAATGGAAATGTAATATCCCTATGCTTACTGATGCACAGGCTCGTGGTGATTAAAAACAGCTCTGCTTAAATTTAAAATGATGGAGTTGTGTGCCAACTGTTCTAAAGACTTTACTTGAGCAATAAACATTGCAAAATGCAACATATCACATCAAGAAGTGAGTGCATGGCTCCAGGTGCAAATAACTACCGGTATGTACTGCAGCACTACGCCATGAAGTCTTTAGACCAGGGCTATTCAACTGGTGACCCGGGGGCTAAATCAGGCCAACGTGTGAGCTCAGTTCGGCCCACCAATGGGTTCATTTTTAAATGAAATTGGATTTTAAACCATAAAACAAACTTGCTTAATGACAATAACTGCTGGATGTCCGACCCCTGAGATGTTTGCTTCCAGTAACAGTGTCCCCCTGAGCAGTTTAATTAAATAGCCCAGCTTTAGACTATTTTTATACTATCTTTATGTTTTATTGCCTTTTTTAAATATTAACTAAATTTGTTAGGTTGTGGACATACTGTAACCAAACTTGCAAGTGTTTTTTTTTTTTTAAGAGGAGACAAGTAATAAGGTACATAAATACAAAGTATTGATGCACTTCTTAAAATCCGCTTCAGCATAAACAACATATTAGCCTACATCGCTCATGTACAGTTAGCCAAACTTGCATGCGTTTTAAAATATATATATCAAAAAGTAATAAAGTCACATAACTTACAAGGTATTAATACTCCTTAAAATCAACTTTTAATTCAACATTTGCCTTAAATCAATTTTATTGCGTGTCTTGTTGCTTCAAGCTAATGTTAGCTGTTAGCGTTAGCGCTGTGGAGCATTGCTGCAACCCTTCTTTGCTTTGACAAGCCTCAAACAATCAGCATCGTTTTGTGGCTGTAAGTGTAACAGCCACATCTTAATATCTGTATATTTACACACAACAACAACAACATCTGTGCAGAGTTTCAGGTGTGGATGTCACACTTTTTTTTAGCACGTGTTTAGCTCGCTGTGTTTGCTAATGCTGTTCTGCATGTTTTTGTATCCCCTACCTTCAGTAGCTTTTGAGATCTGCGGCATGTTCTTGTCTGTAACCTCTGGTTTACACACGAGAACCAACGCGCCTCAGTGAATTTAACACAAACTTGGTTTTCATTGTTTCTTTCGTCGTCCTTTACTGCGCTCTATGCGTGGCCCGCTGTTTACGCAGATCAAATTCCACGTGTAAATGTTTATCTAAACACGTTGGGAAGTTGTTCACGAACATCACGAGGTGTTCTTGATGTTGCTCTTTAGACGTAAAAGAATGACTCCTTTTTGCCTTGAGATATAAACTTTTCCTCCATACGCTTGAAACTGTTCTGCTGCCTCGCGCAGATGTTTCTCAGTTTATGGTGACCGCAACATTTCTGTCTAGTCAGCGTAGTTTAACGTGTGTAACGTTTGTGCTCGTCTTAAATTGACCCAGCTGGGCGCTTGTGGTTGGAGCAGCTTATGCGTCTTGCAACATTTCCTCTGACTTGTTACTCTGGCGTACGTTTGTTGTAAATATACAGTCTCTCTCTCTCACAAGCACAAGGAAATATCATTACAAGTGTCTTGTATGAGCGTGCACATGTGTATTTGAGTTGGAGCAGTGATTCACAGAAACTCTTCTGTTTTTTTTATTTGACAAGACGGGTTAAGCAGGCTAAGGAGTGACGCAGAATTCCTCGTCTTTTCTGTGTTTTGATAGTAAAATTTAAAGTGACACATAGTTATTGTTATTCAAACGTTACCTATGAGTAATCTTAAAGGAAAAGTCTATCACCAGAAGATATTAAAAGAGTGACTGTATATTCCAGTGCTGTTCTTTGTGTTTAGATTGTTAATTAACCAATATGTAAAAATCTTGTTTTTCATACTACACACGTTCTTGTTTTTAATTTTATATTTGGGTTTTGTTTTGTACGAACTTTATAGCTGTTTAAAAAAAATAAAATAAATGCACAAACTGGCTTCTGCGTGCGCTTTTGTCTGCTTGTCTTTGTGACTGCGTCTCCGTGGATTAAAAAAACAAAACATGAATTTTAGAGTTGCAAGCATAAATCTTATGCGAGATAAACATAAAAAAAAGTTTATTTCTTTCAGCGAGCCTGCTCTGTTTGCTTGTTTGGACATGACTAACGTGCACTTGTGTTGTTTTTCTATCTCCTTTTCCTGCACCTAATCACTCTTTTTATTTTTCTTCTTTCAATTCCTTCTTCTCTTCTCGTTTTATACATTTCATCTGACTCTCCCATCCTGCTAGAAGACGAATCTCCGCACAGTCCGGAGGCGAGGGGACACCAACGGGGTTCCTCTGATACGTCAAGGCACAGACGACAACCCTGACCCTCCAGAACACTGAACGTAAGGCGGACGACAAGCGTCCAGCACGAATGAACGTTTGACTTTACGTAAAGTTCTCAATTTACTGACAACCGTCTAAAAGGATTTAACTTTATTTATTCATAAATAGTTAATAAAACTCTTTTGGAAAAGCTGCAAGAGAAACGACTCGCTTCCGATATTAGTGGGAGACTCGCGGCAGCCGTTTTCACGCACCATAAACTGCAAAATGCTCCAGAGACGCTGCAGAAAAGGTTAACTGGTAACAACGTTGGGTTCGTTTGGATAATGGATGGATTTTCTGGTTTCTTCTCGAAGAAACGAAGGTGGAAGAACATGTGGAACAAGCTGACGTGTAAAAGGACGCAAAAAAAAGGGTTGTTATACAGTAAAGACCATGTTTTGATGAGAATGGATGCAAAATGAGCCCTGCTGTGTTCCATCAGCTGCCAGACGGTCAGGTAGATGTAGCTCAGGATCATTTAGAACGTTTTACAGCAAAATGACTGCAGGTTTGTTTTTTTTTTTGTTTTGTTTTTTAAAGCTGCCCGTCGTGAGCCTGATGGCAGGACTAGCTGTGAGGTTATGTAATGTAAAATTACAGCTGAATGTCGGTGGAAAATCTACAAATCTTGTTAGGAGTTCATTTGCAGCTGTTTTTATTAAAGCAATCTGAAAAATTATTAACGTTTTAACTTGTTTTTTATTCTAACAAGCTTAATGGATTCTTTGTTGAAACATGTCATCTTTTATCCAAAAGACTTCTTCAGTCTGAGGAAGAAGTCTTTTGGATAAAAGATGAAATGTTTCAAGATCCATCCAGAGGACCTGACTTAAGCTTTAGATTTATTTACCTGGATTGTTGAGCATGCATCAGGATGTTGTTGGTTTTTTATTATAGGTCATCTATTTAGTTCTATTGATAGCTGTAGGCATTAATCTGACACCGTAAACTTTAAAAACTCACAAAGAACAAACTTCAGCATGGCAAAACTAACATTTGAATAAAATTTTATCAAGTAAAGCAGTACTGACTTTTTAAGGTTTTAAGTTATGTTAGTTTCTAAACATTTTATTTTTTTACAGTCTGTGCCATTTAGATTAAATTTTGTTTATCAGATGTGAGGAATTTTGCATTTTTGTGTCTTGCGCTTTTTAAAATATTTCATTTTATTGCCACATTGTTTTAGTGCAACAACTATACAGTTACAAACCTCTCAAAAATGAATGCTTTTCTGACTCCATTTTTTAAATATATATTTATCATTGAGTGCACTGGCTTGTAGTTTTTGTTTTTTCTTCTCAGTTGTAGCAGGTTCAAAGATGTTACATTAATTTTTTTTAACCTGTGTTTTCGTTGTTTGTTGGTTTCTGCTGGACTGATGCGCAGTGCACCGTTTGTGATGTACAACTTTATTTATGACGATGAATATTACATGCAGTATTCAGTGCAAACAATCAAGCGTCAGCAGCAACTTCGCTTAATGGAAAATGCTTAATATTTGAGTGCAATGGAGCAACCAAGACAATTAGCTGATAACAGCTGAGGATTTAGAGAAGCTTTTCTCAACATTCATCAAAACTGACTTGAATGTGAAGCTGTTTATGTTCTGTGTCTCGTTCAGCAGTGACGATGTTACAGCCAATAATAATAAAAACTTGACAAACGTGACTTGTTTTTCCCGATCATTTGTTTTTCTGCCCGAGTGAAACTTTTCATCAGTTTGCTTTAGTTTCTGTCAGACGGCTGGATCTCTTCAGCTCTTTCAGCTCCTGTAAAGATGATTTTTTCTCATTTTTCTTCGCAACTAGAGGAACAACTGATTCACCACTGATTTTTATTTTATATTTTAAAGAAATTCTTCTGTCTCGTCAAAGGACCCAACCCCTCTTTGCCCCTTTCCATCAGATTCAGAACATTGTTATTGTCATTAAGTGGCCTTATGGTGTCGAAGGTCTATAAAGGATAAAAAAAAAAAAGTTGGGAGGAATTTTACAAATGAAAAAGAAGACATTCAGCAAGGCACATTAATGCATAGATGATTCTACGTTGTTATTGCATGTAATTGCACTGCAGGTGCTAGAGGGCAGTTACTGCTCTGATGGCTATGGGATAAAAGCTGATTTTCAGTCTGTCCTATTTTTAAAGCACCTGTACCTCTGGCCTGATGGCAGTGGTTGATGCACGATGTGATCTGGGTGCAAGGAGTTTTTAAAATGTCCTGGTAGATGCTGCGTTGACTGTGGACTTCAGAAATCACTGTGGATCAACACCAGTAGAGGACATGGCACCAAACCATCACTGACTGTGGAAACTTGACACTGGACTTCAAGCAACGTGGATTCTGGGCCTCCCCACTCTTCCTCCAGACTCTGGGACTTTGATTTACTAATGACGTAAAATGTACTTTAATGTGAAAAGAGGAGGTTGCACCACTGAGCAAAAGTCCAGTTCTTTTTCTCCTCAGCCCAGATAAGACGCTTCTGACGTCACTGGTTCAGGAGTGGCTCGACTTGAGGAATGAGACATTTGTAGCCCATTAGGAGTTAATCAGCTGATTAGAGTGTGACATCATGAGTCTGATATTGAACCTCTTCACAATATTCAAATTTTCGGAGACACTGAAATGTAGTATTTTCATTATTTGTAAGCTATAATTAAAACATCCATCCTTCCATTATCTTTTACCCGCTTCTTCCATTTTGGGTCACGGGGGTCGCCGGTGCCCATGTCCAGCAATCACTGTGCGAGGGGCGGGGTACACCCTGGACGGGTCTCCAGTCCATCACAGGGACACATAGAGACAAACGAGACAACCATTCACTCTCTCACTTACACCTAGGGACAATTTAGAGTTACCAATCAGCCCAATATGCATGTTTTTGGTCTGTGGGAGGAAACTGGAATACCTGGAGAAAACATGAAAACTCCACCCAGGAAGGACCCTGGACCGGGATTTGAACCAAGGACCTGCTTGCTGAGAGGCAGCAGCTCTACCAGTTGCACCACTGTGCTGCCCCACTTTCTGAAATGATCTACAAAGAAAATGCAACTTTATGAAAAATTCAACATTTTTATGTGCACCTGTAAGACACCAGCAGTTTGTGAGAGATGTTATTCTTCCTCCGGTGGGCCTTCTGTACCAGCTCTGCTGTGTTAACACCCCAGGTCAGGTCCTCTGTGATGCGGACTCCCAGGAAACAGACGTCTGACACGTTCTCCATACACTACCCATGGATATACAGTGGGTGAATATCAGTTTTCTTTTTCCTAAAATCCATAAATTAGTTTTAGTCTTAGCTGTGTTCAGGAGCAAGTTGTCTGTGCACCACGCTAACAACCGCGTCACTTTTTTCCATTTACCTTTATTTATCCAGATAGTCTCATTGAGCCACGAGAACTCATTTTCAAGAGAGACCTGTTTAAGGAGCAGATGGCGGTTAAGGGCCTTGTTCATGGTCCCAGAGTGGGGCGAATGAGGGTGGGGGCAAGTGTGGGTGCTTCACCTACCCCACCCACAATTTTGATCGTTGTCGGGCCGGGGTGTGAACTGGCGATCTTCGGATCACAGGCCCACCTCTCTAACCTCTGCGTTACCACTCCCTTTGTCCTTTTTGTCCTTTGTACTTTGTCCTTGTAGGCAGACTCATCGCCCTCAGAGATGAGCCCCACCACAGTGGTGTCGTGGAGTTGCTGACTATAGAGCTGCCGTGGTGGGCGGGAGCACAGTCATGTGTACAGTGTGAAGAGCAGTGGGCTCAGCACACAGCCCTGTGGAACACCAGAGCTAACGCTGATGGTCGAGGACATGAGGGGGCCCACCCTGACCCTTTGTACTATATGCATCAGAAAGTCCTTACTCCAGAAACAGGAGTCCCAGGGCTGACGTCTGTGAGGGAAGATGGTGTTCAAAGCAGAAGTCAATGAAGAGCCGTGCTCCCCTGGTGTTCCAGGTGGGACAGAGCAATGTGAAGAGAGCACCAGCGTTCTTTGTAGACCTGTAGGAAAAGTGGTGTGTGTCAAAGGTGGAAGAGATAAATAACGTGATGTGCCTACACTTCCTTACCACAGGGGGAGTGCTACTGGCCGGTAGTCGTTCAGGCAAGTGATGGATGTTTTTATTTATTTAGTTAGTAGAGGAACAATGGTGGAGGACTTCAGGAAGTGTGGAAATGTGACCTGAAACAGTGACAGGCTGAAGATCAAACCGCCACACAGCTCTTCAGGACACATTCAGGTCCGGCAGCCTTCCGAGGTTAGACAGCCTGCAGCAAGAATTCCACCTTGTGCTCCTCCACCATGAAGATGAAGCTGATGTTGTTGTGAGCGTCTGCGCGTGGAATGGTTGACCCTGGTGGCACTACCTCAAACCAGGCTACAAAGTAGTTCAGCTCCTCTGCCAGTGACACATCACTTTCAGCATCTCCATGACTGGTCCTGTAGTTGAAGAGGTGCAGTATTCCCTGACGAATCTGTCTGTTATTAATATCCAGGTACTCATTGATCCTTCTCTTTCAGTCGCTCTTGGTCTTCCTGATGCTCCTCTTTAGGTTGGACCTTGTCCCCAGACCTGAATGTGCATTCCTCTCCTTTAGAAGCTGCTGGACTTACCTGGTTATCCAGGGCTTTTAATGAGATAAAAGTGGATGCATTTTTCCACAGTGACTGTGACGATGCAGGATTTGATATGCACTATGCTGGTCGTGAATAGTTTCAGAAAAATATCCCAGTTCTGTCAAAGCTGTCCTGCAGCTGCTGAGGCAGCATTAGACCAACCTGAGAGAGTTCTTGTGTTGGAAAGAGAAGATTTTCTGAAATATTTTGACAAAAAATTGTTACTGCTTTCTTAGAAGAAAAAGAATCCTTCAGAGTTTGGTGCATTTTTCTTGTCAGAGATTTCTTCTTCAGGTTAAGTGTCTGCAGAAGGTTCCTTTTCCTCTTCAGCATCGCCATCTTCAGTCGCTTTAAAGTTTTGTTCAGAGATTCAAAGAAAGCTCTCATAGCTGCTGGTCAACCTG